AGCCGAGGCGAGCTGGTACTGTGTAGTGGAAAAGCGCCATTACATAACGTAGATCGGCCTAATTTAATACCGAAGACTGATTACCCCTACCTTAAATATATTGCAAATTATGATTTTTTAATGTTTTTAAAAGAAGTCTCTTCTGCTCACCATACTGCAACTGCATTTATTTTATTAAAAATAAAAAAAAAACAGTAATATTGTCAAATATTATTACACAATAAATCAATGCTTTTATTCAGCAAGAATGCATTAAATTGATCAAAAGTTACAGTAAAGACATTTATAATGTTGCAAACGATTCCATTTCAAAATAAATCAAATAGAACTTTCTATTCATCAAAGAATCCTGAAACAAAATTGCACACAACTGTTTTCAACATTGATTATAATAATGAATGTTTTTTGAGCATCAAATCAGCATATTATAATGATTTCTGAAGGATCATGTGACGCTGAAGACTGAAAATTCAGCTTTGATCACAGGAATAAGTTATATTTTAAAATATATTCAAATAGAAAACAGTTATTTTAAATTGTCATAATATTAAACAATATTACTCTTTTTTTTTTTTACTCAAATAAATTTAGCCTTGGTGAGCATAAGAGACATAAAAAAAGTTGAAACATAAAAAAAAAACTTTTGAACGGCAATGTGTGTACTACATATAATGTGTGTGTGTGTGTATATATACATACAGTACACATACATACATACATGCATACATGCGCACACACATATATATATATATATATATATATATATATATATATATGCAATTATTATTTAGGAACTATGACATAATATAGTATGGTATGGCCACAGGAACCTCATTGTTGATCATAGTGCTAGTCGACATGTTAGCAAGCTTACCATGACAGATTAGAGAGGCCTGAATGACATTTTTATAACTCTAGTATAGCGATAAGGCTGTGATTTTTGTGTTATTTATGTTTCTGTCACAGTGCTGAACTGAAATCTGAGCGTTGATTTAGTGGAGTATAAACTCAGGATTCCTTTTCTTCTCTCTGCCGTTTTCCTCCTCCATAGTTCACTTGTACGCTCAATTATTTTCCTCAAATCTTTCTCAAGTGGTGCCATCGTACAAAGCTCCCAATTTGTGTTTAAACAAGCTATAGGGACGACAGGGCTGCGACTGACTGGAGGGTCAAAGTAAGCATATTGAATAAAAATAGAAAAGAAGCAATTTACAAATACTGGCACTGGCACATACATGAGGTGAGTACTGTAATTCAAAGTGTCCAGAGCAACTCTCGCTATTCATCTGTAGAATAAATCCCCGTCTCATTTCCAACTGCTTTAATCTTGTTGAGAAAGGTTTTATTTTTGTAATGGCTCGGTAATAGTGACGGGAAGTGAATTTGTTCTTTTGTTCGAGAGTAGTGCATTTCATAAAACCCATCAAACAGCGAGACGAGAGCATTGTTTGAAATCTCTCTGTGTGCGCAGCCGAGGATTTCAACCTCTTGAAATGTCTTACTTTGTTGTAGAGCAAGTTAACACCCACATTCCTCACAAAGACCTGCCTGTGAGAGGAGCGATATATAAATATATATATATATTCGAAAGTGGAACATGAAAGAAGAGTAATAAATGTATTAACAAGTGGATGTAGAGAGGCAAGGAGAAAGCTGAACCTCTGTATTCCCAAGGTAATATTTCCTGGCGCTACAGCCACAGTAAAAAAAAATAAAGCTTATGCTCAGATGATTGCAAACATGCATTCGGTGTTTAGTAGGTTATTAATGGAGCTAAATCAATATGTACCAGCAGATGTTTGTATGTAAAAATAAAACGTAAGGCTGATTTTAAAATTCTTATCACGTGTATATTTTTTTATGGACGCAAAGACATACATTTAATATGTGAATAAGGACTTTAGACACCTTCACTTATGAACGCTTAATATTTTCAGTTATTCTGACATTTGTCTTATACATTAGCAATTGCAAACACACTTTTTTTTTATTGACTTTGATGCAAAGCAACAGAAAGGCAGCAAACCGCAGTGTGTGAAACGTAATTTGCCTGCAAAGTGAGGATCTGTTGAAAAAATTACTTTTGATTTGGATGTCAGATGTCACTTGCAACGGCATAATTGCTCCAAATAGTTTTATTTTTTACATTTGCATGCAGCAATTTTGCACTTATGCTTACACACTGTAGAGACCTGCTTTTGAAAATTGATTAAGGGAGTCTGGATAAAAAGTCAGTGTCGTACAGTGGACTGTGATGATAATTAAATGTATTTATTGCAAGCAAGTCTTAAACATAGGTGTTACATTGCTGGTCAGTTGATAATCGTGCTAGAACTGACATCTGTCTAGGTTTGGAGCACTGGTTTTATCCCTGGGCTTTATTAATGGGCTTGCTGGCATGTCTGCCATGTTCTTGCCAGCTTTCTTTGTCTTCAGCCTTTCTTAGTCATTAACTCGCGGGCCTGACAGCCTCGCCAGCCAAAGCAGCGATCCCTTTGACTAAAACCTTGTAAATTAACACAATTAGCTCAGCATCATCCTGCTAATTAGCTCTCTCTCTCTCTGTGTGTGTGTGTGTGTGTGTGGTGTCTGGCCAGGCTGCTGGGGGATTCAGGCGAGGGAAAACCACATGGCCATCTTCTATTGTGGAAAAAGTACTCTGATATACACACAATACACTGATGGGATTTATTTATAGAGACAGTCAGTAGACATCATACAGTAGATGCCTCAAATACAACTAGGGCAGGGTGATATAATGAATATTATGTTATGTTTGTGATGATTTTGTTGGCAACACAAAATTAAGCGATATTGAGAATAGTGCAGTGATTTTAGTGCACTAATGTGTAATTAGACTAGTTTCTCAATCCTTTATTGCCTCGTTCAGAAGAATTTAACTTCAGTAGTGAAAACAGCATTTATGAAACCTGTTCAAACTGTCAACTTCAATGAATCAAAATTATTAATTTGTGTCATTGTTCAAAAATGTTCATGGATGCATCATCTTTCGCTCACACTTTAGTTTAGGGTTCAATTTTCACTATTAACTATAACTTTTGCCTCAGTAAACTCCTAATTACTGCTTATAAGGAATAAAAGATGTAAAATATGGTCATGCAGAATAAGGCATTAATATGTGCTTATAAACTAGTACTAATAAACAGCCAATAATATCCTAGTCATATGCATGCTAATAAGCAACTAGTTTATAGTGAGTATTGGACTCTAAAGTGTTACGCATCTTTCATACCGGTATATTAAAGTATTTTTCTTTAATATTGCACTTTTGTTTTTACTAAATGTTGTTTGTGGATAAACATGATTGCTTTTATTATAATATTTTGCTTCATGCATTTAATCATTTTTAATGTAATTGTCAAAATCGTGGTTCCTTTGAGAGAGAGAAAAAAAAAGAGTTTGGACCAAATATCAAGATATATAGATAGGATATTTTCAGAAGGTGGAAAATTAATGCAGTCCCCAAATCCAAAAATTGTGGTCTTACTGATAAAGGATTTATCTTTTATTTGTGGTGCACATGCTATAGGGAGTAACTATCTTTGTTTATTATGTCTTGGCTTTATGAGGTGTGTAAAGTTTTTAAATGCTCATTTTCTGTTATTTGCAATTGAGTAATAAAAAAGGTTCAGTCTATATGTAATTTGACAGACTTTAAAGATCAAGGTACATGGACTCATGGCTAAAAGCTCGTAAACGGCATCGTTTTCTGTGACATCTTCTTCCCTTTTTGTGCCGTGAATAGTGTTCGTGAGTGCTTAGGCCCAGTAAGCTCGGATAAGCGGGTGGTGTGTGCACAATAACACGCCTGCTGGACACTGCGGCCGAGCGCTGTTGTCATCAGAAGTCTATCTACAGACGCGCGAGTGTGCGCGCGACCACCCCCGTCATCCCGTCGGCTCTTGAGTAAATGTCTCTTTGATAATCCCATGCTGTGTCTAAGATGACAGCGTATGTAACTGCTTGTGTTTGCAGATGGAGTTTGGGATTAAACTTGATGGTGGCTTTTGAGCCCTGGAGCCAATAAAAGACAGAGGCTGTGGAGAGAAAAGACAGTGAGAAAGAGAGAGGCAGAACCCAGAGCGTCAGAGTAAAAGGAAGAGAGAGAAAAGGGAGCATTAGAGCGAATGAGAGGGAGGCAGGCATGTTTTTTTTCCCCCTTTCCAGTTCTCTGTGCTCCGGGAGGCGGGCGGCAGACAGAAAGCTGTTGTAATTCATGCTGTGCTGCGAGTTTGTGTGATGAAAGCAGTAGAGCGCTGCCTGGGAGATTGCTTTGCTGCACTCCTCCAAGCAGATTCGAAACTGTCTGGGACTGCTTTAGATGAGAGTTGGATTATAGAGTGACCTGCGATGTCTGTGTCACTCGGCTGTGTGCAGGGTGCATTATACTGTGCTAACCAGGTGTTGGAGGCCCACATCTGCACTGTTCCTGAGATACCAACTGTCAGCAGTGCCTGCGATATGAAGCCAGGACTCTTGGAGAGCTGGATGGGGGAAATGGAAATAATATTTTACGGTTGTTGTTGCGGTTTTGTGTGCATTTCATTTCTTTTCAATGGCAGTTGCTTATTGGATCATTGAGTCTGATGTGACAAAAAAGAAAACCCTGAAATTCACAAATAGTGGTTGTCCGATGTGTTTTTAATGTCCAGTACTTTTTTCTGTGTAATATAATGTACACAACATTTTAGTTTATGCGATATTTAATAACATATATTAAATATTTGAAAACAGATTATATGCATGAAATATGTCTTTATTAAATATTTTTGAACTATTGAAAAATAGAAAATAAAAAGTGTATATATGTACTACCCATTGATATCAAGCCACGTGACTACTTCCAAAGCAAACATCTCAAAAACCCAAATATTGGCAGATTAACCAACACGGCATTACAAGATTAATCAGTCTCTATTCATAAGGGCTGTTTATCAAGTTTCTAACACCCGTTTGTTTTTTCTTTGCTGATTGTTTAGGCTTAAAGATGCAGTGGACCCCAGAGCATGCGCAGTGGGCCGAGCAACATTTCGACATCTCATCCACCACACGTTCCCCCGCACATAAAGCAGAGGCGTATCGTGGACACCTGCAGCGGACCTACCAGTATGCCTGGGCCAATGACGATATATCAGCTTTGACGGCCTCCAACCTTCTGAAAAAGTACGCAGAGAAGTATTCTGGTATCCTGGAGGGTCCCAGCGAGCGGGCGCTCCTCTGCTCATACTCCGAGAGTGCCCATGGACTCCTGAACGGACGCAAGTCGGAGAGCGAAGCATGGCAGGAGGGGATCTACCCAATGAGCTGCGCTGCAGATGTGATTTCTGCTAGTAAGACTGGCATGACGCCCGCCCTGCCTCCTCCAGATGTGACGGCAAGTGTTGGCAGCTCCACGGGAGTGGCTAGTAGCTTGAGCGAGCCCAGCTACTCCAGCAGTAACTGTGGGAATCATGCGTCTACTGCACTCCACTCGGGTATCCCCTCTCAGGAATTCGCTAGCAGTTACAATGGCTCGTACTTGCATTCCACTTACAGCGGTGGGCAAAGCACACCAGCTCTCCCGTCCCCACATCCCTCACCTTTGCACAGCGCTGGGCTCCTTCAGCCTCCACCCCCGCCACCTCCAACCCTGGTGCCCAGCTACAATGCAAGTTCCCCCAATCTCTCCAGTTACAATTACCCTCCAGCAGGGTATCCCCCACAGACTGCTGTTCCCCCAGGCTACAGCCCAGGAGGAGCACCCCCTCCTTCAGCTTACTTGCCCTCAGGCATTGCTGCCCCCACTCCCCTACCCCCTTCCACCCTTCCCGGTTACTCCTACCAGACCCACAACCATGGGCCAATTGCACCAACCCCTTTGAATGGCAGCTCGGCTAACACACTGAAAAGAAAAGCATTTTACATGACGGGCCAGGGAGATATAGACTCCAGTTATGGAAATTTCAACTACAGCCAGCAGCGTTCTGCTCAAAGCCCCATGTACAGAATGCCAGACAACAGTCTTGACTCAACCAGAGGGAATGGATTTGACAGGAATGCTGACACATCATCTTTGGCGTTTAAGCCCACAAAGCAGTCAATGCCACCGGATCAGCAGCGGAAGTTTGGCAGTCAGTCCGGCAGGGCACTAACCCCTCCTTCATACGGATCCTCCAAAGGTTCCTTGGGATCCCTACGGTCAGGCGAGTCATTTGGAAAGTTTGGTTCCCCCGTTTTGAGTGACCATGGTGACGACAACAGACAGCATCTCCCCCATTCCATGGGCACGACTACTTCATCCAGCCACCCTGCGGAGGAGCAGTTAAAAAACAGCGATGCTAGTCTGGTAGAGATGGTCACCACTGAGATTCTGCAGCAGACGCCCCCTGTGGACTGGAGTGACATTGCTGGACTGGAGATGGTGAAAGCCACCATCAAAGATGAGGTCCTGTGGCCTATTCTGAGGCCAGACATGTTCAGCGGACTGGCCACATTACCTCGCAGCATCCTTCTCTTTGGACCTCAGGGCACGGGTCGGACTCTTCTTGGTCGGTGTATGGCCAGTCAGCTTGGCGCTACTTTCCTCCTGCTTAGTGGCTCTGCACTGGTCACAAAGTGGCTGGGAGAGGGCGAGAAGATCGTCCAGGCCTCATTCCTTGTCGCTCGCTGCCGGCAGCCTTCGGTGGTTTTCATCAGCGACGTAGATCTGCTGTTGTCTGCCCAGTTGAGCGAAGAGAGCCCGGTGAACCGAATCAAGAGTGAACTCCTCCTCCAGCTTGATGGAGTTCTAAGCTCACCAGAGGAACATGTTCTAGTGGTATGTTCCACCAGCAAACCTGAAGAGATTGATGAATCTCTGCGAAGGTACTTTATAAAGCGGTTGCTCGTCCCCTTACCGGATGCCACTGCACGACATCAGATAATCAGCCAGCTGATCTCACAGCACAACTACTGCCTCAGCGACAAAGAGGTTGCCCTGCTTGTTCAGCGGACAGACGGCTTTTCCGGGCTGGATGTGGTCCGACTTTGCCAAGAGGCCATGGTCGGTCCTCTCCATGGCTTGTCCGGTACAGACATTTCCGGAATGATGCCGGGTCAGATGAGGCCGGTATCATACCAAGACTTTGAGAATGTGTTTTGCAAAATCCAGCCCAGCATATCACAGAAAGAACTTGATACATACACTGAATGGAATAAGATGTTTGGCTGTAGTCAGTAAAGAGCGAGGGCATAACTAAATCGGTGGGGTGACCTCCCCTACTCTAAACGGGGATACAATTCAGAATTCTTTGGGTGAAACATGCAGTTAAACAGTGTGGTTATTACAAATGTAGATGACCCCTAAAGAAGAACCTGAAGGACGGTCAGATAGAGTTGAATGATGCATGACTGTACTTAAGTCAAGGTCTGGCCCTTTGCACATAATCCAGACAGAGAAATACTGTTTTCTGGGCTCAGTACTGCAGACGCAGAGCTCCACTTACCGAGGGGCTCTGTAAGTGAGGACAAACTTCTTTGTGTGTAAATATCATTCTGCTGTTTTTGAGATTATGTTGCTATGAAGTGCCTGAAGTGGTACTTTATTGATTTGGATTTGGATTTGTTTGCCTCACCATCTCATTGGTGGCATGTGCTAATATAGAGAGCTTTAACATGAAACTAAAACAGATATGTTCTGCTTTTTGTTCTTTTCCTTGTTTTCAACACTTCTTTCAAAAGAACAACAGTATTCCTCAATCAAGTCTGACCTGTAGACCCCAGGAAGGGCAGGAGAAGGTCCATGTTGTACTTTGAATCTGGATCCTAATTTATGAAATTCATTTGTGTTAGATTTTCTTCAAAAACTCAGGAAAGTGATTTGTGATTTGTACAGTACCTCAAAAAAGATTATGAGATAGCACTACATACTGCTGACAACATTGGGTTTGGTTTCTAATTTCTAACGCTAGGTTTACCTCAACCAATTAAAAAATGAAAAGGATATGACTATGAATGTAACCAGAACATTTCTGGGTTGTTTAGAAGAAAAAATTGAAGAGTTTCTTTTTCTTCCGTTATATTCTTTTTGTTCTTTCTAAATTACTTTTTAATTCCTTTGTGGATATTTCTTCAAGTTTCGAAAGCAGAATTGCGTGCCAGTATTGACTTACAGCACTGGTTCCTCCCTGCATAGCACAGTTCAGACTCTGCAACGAATGCTTGAGTCAGAGATGGGCGGTGTCTTCTTGTGTAGATAAGGTTTGTCTGAAACCACGTCCACACCAGAGTATGCAGTAGACGTCAACATTTGCGTGTTTGTCTCCTCTCTGCAGACAGAAACGTTGGGGTGAACCAAAACTTTACAAAGAGGCTACTAGATTCTTGAAGTGGAAACATTTTCCGTAACACGTTTCGTTTTTGTTTTGGACTCTGTCCTGCTGCTGTGTGGTGTTGGTGTAAAGATATCTGAAGGATCATGTGTACCCTACATTCTGTTCTACCTCAGTTTAGCACTATTTTCTCTGCAACTAGAACAGAAAGATGAGAGCTTGGTGTCTTTAACCTCTTTAGGTTTTCTCCACTCTGAAGCCTCTATAAAGAACAAGCTGCCTTTTTGCCCCCCCAAAAAAGATACAACAAACGTTTGTGTCTCACTACCTGTGCAATTTTTTGCTTAGAGTGCCCAGATGTCTCTAAAACACTTATTGATGGGGTCTCTATGGGGACACTTATTGGGGCCACATTACCTAAAGCTAGAAACATACTCTACGCAGGTACGCAAGCACTTCTAGCAATGCATTACCTAAAGCTAGAAACATACTCTACGCAGGTACGCAAGCACTTCTAGCAATGCAAGTTAGAAGACTTTAAGCATTGTTGCATTCCGAAAGGCGCCAGATCGCAATTTATAACGCAATGCAAGGAGGCTAAAGCAGGCATTGCTATAAATTGTGTTTTATACATTGAGTTTTCTTTTTCAAGTCAACAACTATTATAGCAAAGCAACAGTTTATTTAGGGAATCTTGCTGAACAAATAAGTCAAACTTTCTACATTTTTAATGTCTGTCCACCCAGTTTACCGGCACAGACATTTGAAAGAAACTCTATCGCCCCCTTGAGTATGGAGGTTTGCTACAACCACAATATTACATACAACAAGACCTTGCTCTTGCCATGCTTTGGCTAAGCGTTGCCATTTGTGCACTTGCTTACAGTATGTTTCTGGCTCAAGGTAGCACAGGATGTTGGTAACCATAAGACGAAACCTTGTGTTTGAATGTATTTTTTGTTTGTTTTTTGATGTCTACTTTCTCTGATCATTTGAGTCAGCTTTTTTCTTTTGTCTAGCACTAGAGTTGGTGAAGCGATGTGTTCCCTCTGTCAATTTTCTCTGCCTTTTATATCATGCGTCTCAAATGTTGGGGAGAATGCACACTCTGTTTTGAACTTTTTTTTTTTGTTGGTCCACTGCAGTGTAATTTGACACCATTTAAAGGTGCTTATTTAGCGGTTGGAGGCACCAAACCTCCAATACACGTGTGTATATATATGACATATCGTTGAAGAAATATCTGTTTGCTTTTTTGACAGACATCCAGATAGTCTTTTCAGTAGCTGTGAGACACCACTTACTTCACAATGTTCGTAAAGTGATATGTACGCCCAAAGGACTACGATTTCTAGCCTTGTTTTGTCGTCTAAAGTGGAAGCCTTTTTTTTTTCTTTAGGGGTATTTTCATTCTGCTTTCTTGTTTTTGTTTTGTGTTGTTTTGAAGAAAAGTTACTATGTGCAATTTGTCAAATGCACTTTTAATGTTTTGTGTTAAAGCCGATCATACTTAATTGTCCTCCCTCAAAACCAAAGCGAACAAAACAATTTAAGATCCAAAACTGATCCATAACTCTAAGATCAAATATTCAGATCCATGGACACATTTACACGTTTGGAGAAATTTGTATGGAACTTCGCATAGGTTAAACCTGTGATATCCACAAAGTATTGCTCTGTTTTGTTGAAAATGATCGTACTCTGGATTTCAAAGCCAAATAGCACTGATAAACAAAACCCACATTAACCCTGAAGAGGAATGATCTTATAGTGCTACTGCTGGTGGTGTTGTCAGGGTTGGGGCTAACGCTAATGTTTGAAGCCTATATGCCCTTGAACAAAACCGATTTATTTTTGAAAGCTCTTTATAATTGGTTAAAGGAATGTTACCGACAGCATTGGTATGACTCGTCACTTGTTTTCTATTTTATTATTGTTTTTAAACACCAGATCACATTTAAAAGTGCACAGGGCCATTTATTAAAATAAGTTGTTTATTTTTATTATAGCCAGAAGTCTTTACATGTTACCATAAGTCTAGCGTGATTTAAAATCATTTGTATTCAACTTCAATGAAAATGTACAGTAAAGTTGGTAACTTTACTCACAAAAGTTATGATAATCAAGCATGAATCCACTAGAAGTCTTTCCACTTTAAACAAATTTACAGCCATAATTCATGCATGTGCTGTAACAAAAAAAAAGCTTTTAAACCCTCTTTACCTGTTTACTTCCATTTTAAGTGTAACTTTTACTGTAATTTTGAAAATGAAGGGATTAGTCCAAATGATATTCTGTGGTAATCAATATCATGCCACAAATGCTGTCGATAGAGCTTAGCTTGTATTGAACCGGAACATTCCTTTAATTGATTGCAAAATAGAAAGAGGGGAGAGGGGGGGAAGAAATGTGGGAACATCCAAAAAGTACAATAAGTTATAAAGCACATCTCCTATGTATATATAAATCAAAATATCACTTGATTTGAGTTTTTTTTGAGTTGTTTTTGTTCTCGGGTTTGTGTTAATTTGCTTCAGCGCTGTTATAGATGTTTCTTTCACCAATATGTAACTGTCATCAGTGTTTGTTTTTCAACCATTATTCTTTATGACCATTTCTACCTCATTGCTACATATTGACATGTAGTACCTATGTTCTGTCTTTTTTGAATGTCACACATTTGTATAAAAGAAAATTTAAAAAAAAAAAAAAAGAAAGAAAAACGTAAAAGAACAAAAAAATCAATAAATAAAAAAGGCTTGTTCTTTAACTTGAGCAGTCTACCTCAGAAAGACTGTCTGTCCGTACACTGAGCAGTGGAGTAGCTGCACATACTGAAAAGACACGCATTAGGCAGAGACGATGCACACTGACCACACGAACTCGGACCATTCGTTACGCCGCCGTGATCGGGGATATTGTGGACTGTATAGGTCTTCTCCAAGGTCTCTACATGCAAGTTTTTCTTTTCATTTTTTCAATTGAAGTAAATCGCTTTTCCCCCCTTGTGAATTGTAGTGTGCATGTGGATGTGTGTGCACTTATTATGAAGTGTGTAAGTGTGCATTTTTATATATGAAAATTCTATATGAAATGTAGGTACATTTCATATACCGTATTTGTACATTAGATACACTTGCACATTTGTGTACTTAATGTACATTTGTTATTAGTATAACATTTTGAAACGCACCACATACATGTTAATATGTGTGTGTATGTACAATATTGCCATAATTACATTCAACGTAAATGTATTTTCATGTATGCATAGGGGCAAAGGACAATAAAAGATCATTCAAATGCTTTTGAAACGTCGTGTTTTATTTTTATTTTCTGTTGCATGCCTCGTGCATCACAATTTTAGACACCTCTGTGAACTGTAAATCTGCTTTGAAATGAAATGGTTCATTGAAAGATCTGTTTGAGAGAGACCTATACACTGCACAATGTATCAAACATTAAAGTTTTTTTTTTCTACGATGAATGACATTTTAACAGGGCACCGGTTTAGACATCCAATCAGATCGCATTTATTTATGGTTTTCTTTCTTTCTTCATTGTGTGAATGTGCAAATTTATAAATGCTAATGGTGCTAATGGATAATCTAATATCTGTACAAAACTGTTAACCCCCTTAAATGGTAGGAAATTGTACTATTTCACTCTCATAATGAGCTGTAAATACAGCTTGAATTATGTGATAATTTCCAGATTTTAGGATGTTTTTCTGTAAAGCTACTTTGAAACACATGTGCTGTGAAAGGTGCTGTACAAATAAAATGTGCTTTCTCTAACAAAGTAAAGCTATGGAAGACAATGGTTTTCACAAAAAAATCCATTAAGGCTACTGGTTGAAACTCCTCGCATCCTGATAGTAATTAATTGTAGAAATGGTCTAAATAAATATTCAAAAATGTGCACTTTCTGTTGAAGTCTCAAGACCAAAAAAAATTGTCCAAATTGCGTTCAGTCTGATTTCAATGTTCGTGGCTCTGCAGAGTTGTACTAACCCACACACACACACACACACAGCGCCCCAAACCAACAGCAGCTGCCTTCTACAGCTTCTCCTGAACCAAAACAACGAGCTAATGCTGCGTTCACGTCATTTTCTACTCGGAGCGGTTCACGTCCTCAGATTCGAGTTTATAGTGCAAGAGAAACGTAGCTATAAGTCTGAATCCGAGGAACGGCTCGAATTAGTGTCACGTGTTGTCATCTCTTATTCACGGTAATTATGTGGTTATCAAAGCTAACTTGCTATTGCTAGCCTCTCTGAAATTGCCTACCCTGCCTTTAAATCTTTATTTTTCAGCCTGTTTGCAATATCAGTATGTACATTTTGGTTTGTTGGCTTAAAAGTATATATGATATACTATGAAAAAAAAACAAAAAAAACGGAGCACTTTTGGGACAGGGCCTTTGAGTGATGTAAACAAATAGTTCATTAGGTTTTTAATTGATTTGTTTAAAAAAAAAATCATTTTCACTACATTTACCTGTAGGCCTACAGTCACTTAATCCTCGTGAATCTATCGACGACTCATTGTATCGCCCAGCGCTAGCACTGCAGATGTTATTTGGTGAAGTTTTTACACAGCAACCCATTTAAAAGGCTGAGTACTTTTGCATTAAACAAAACTAAAGCTTTTAAAGCCCAATACCTGGAGTTTAAGCGGCACGTTTCCAGAGTCTACCCAGTAATTACGCTTCTGAAAGATGACCATTAGCATCCGTTTCCAAAACCATTTGCTGCATTTCTTAAATACAGTTTCCATTGTTTGTGATATTTC